CACAGGCCAGGCTGAACCTGGGGGGAGGAGCCCCAGGTGCTGGGAGGGGCAGCTGAAGGCAAGACAGGGAGTGGTACCCTGCGGCATTAGGCAATCAGGGAGGGGCTCCGGGACCTGGCATTAGGGAGGAACCCTGAGACACCAGGCACTGGGGAGGACTGGACGCTGGACTCCATTCAGGGCTGCTCCTTTAGGTGTCCCAGCAGCCTGGTAACAGCAACCCCACCTTTGTCTGCCGCTTTTTCCTTATATGCAAAAGGAGAATAATAATTCTGCTGACGTATTTCTCGGGATGTGGGTGAAAAACACCTAATAAAACATGGTAAAGAGAGTGGGGAAGAGGCAGAGGGGGAAGGAAAAAGAGGAACAGGAAGAGAACGAGAAGACAATATAAACAGGAGAAAGGGAAGAAACATACTCTTCATTCTGCTGTCAAGTTACAGAGATCGGAAGCAACGATGGGCCATTAGGGGGTGCTGCAGTGGTGGAGGCCTCCAGGAGGCCCCAAGCAAAGGGCCAACTTCTAAAACAATGAATTATTGTTAACAATTTGATGTTTTAAAGACATATCTTTTACTATAAAGTCTTAGAATGCACTAACTCCGATAACCCGTGGATTTAAGCATCTCTGGGTCCTTTTCCAAAACAGGAAGTTCTCCCCCAATGACAGTCCATAATTTCCTTGTGCACTGTATCATGTCCTATGTAACGCCGGGACGAGGGCTAAGGGAATGTGAAAGGATCAGTCATCTTCTGGATGAATTTCACTTCTCAGATTTCACTTAGCATCAGTGTCTCATGTGATCTGTCATTTTGCCATAAATACCAAGGGCAAAAAGAAATCTCTATTATGTCCTCTGGCAGCCAAGAAGCTGTCATTAGCTCTCTAGTCATTATATAAACATCTTTCATTAACAAAAATTAGAATAAAAGAGTTAAAATTTAAGTATACATGCCAGCTATCAAATTTGTAATCATAGTAGAAAATAAAGTAAAACTACTTAGGTTGCATAAATAAAAAAAGTAGGATATAAAATTGCACGTATAGGATTGCAACTACCTAAAAACTATCTAAAAATGTACCTAAAAGAAAAAAAATACCATCACGACAAAGATCTTTGCAGGGAGAAAAGACTGAATGGAAACAGCTATAGATGGAATGAGAGGGTTTTCTTCCTTGTGTTTCCCACATTTTCCATTAATATATGTATCATAATGGAAAATACACAACAAACACAATTTTAAAGAAATACACATACTAGCAACTGATAAAAGAAAGAATTAGAGATGACCAAGATCACAGAAAATTCAAGAGAAGCCTCTGGGGGAAATCTTGTCATATGGCCTCTTTCCACACTCAGAAAGCTTCTTGGGCAATCCTAAACAGTGGAAATCCCAGAAATGACTTGACTTTGCTTGTGGAAGCACTGTGGACTTTTTATCAGGAGATTTACCTTACTAAGGTTTTGCTTTTTGACACAGCAAAGTGAGTGTCCACCCCAACTGCCCTGGGGATGATGACGACAATAATAAAAATAAAAATAAATAAAAATAAATAATGGACTTGCCTCAGATCATTTATACAGCACATGGTATACCTACGGGGTCCCGTTCTAGCTCCCCAAGTCGCAGCTCTCCACGTGCTTCTCAGGGAAGACATGGCTGGCTGCTATGCAACAGCCGTCTATCCCTTGGCTCCCTTGTGACCTCTAGCCTGGGTGTGTGGTCAGACACGGCCCAGCAGTGTGCCCAGCCCTGGGGCACACCTCATGTGCGCGGAACCCATCACGGTAGTGCTGACTCCTTTGCAGACACAGGAAAGGGGCTGGCCCGGCTCCAGTCAATGAGATGCTCTCAGGCATAGGTTCAGCTACCAGTGGCAGACACGTCCTCCTCTCTTATGTGAAAGTACAGAGCCCTGTGGTACAGACTGGGATGGGGGTCCTGCTTCTACCACTTCTGTGTGTGGCCCCTTGTCCTCATTCTCCAAGATAGCCTGTAAGGTATTCGAGGATGGAGAAAGGGATGAAGAGAGAGAAGCCAAAGCAGCTTCTCTTGAGGAAGGGGCTCTCAAGAAGGTTCTTGGATGGACACTTCCACTGATTTCCCTTTTACTAGTACTTGGTCACATGACCACATTTAGCTGCAAGGGAGGCTGTTTATTATGGGAGGTCTATTACTCAGCTAAAATTCGATTTTTAAGGAAAGAGGAGAATGAACTCAGGGGCACCATTAGCAGATTTTTAGCAAGAACAAAAGGGGCAGTCTGCTGGAGGGCTGATGTGAGATTGTCTTTGATGAAGAGAATCCCAAGCACACCTAGCTTCAGATTTGGGTTTTTTTTTTTGTTTGTTTGTTTGTTTAACATTAACATATGATGTGTTATTAGTTTCAGAGGTAGAATTCAGTGATTCACCAGTCTTATATAATACCTAGTGCTCATCACATGACAGGTTTTTAATGTTATTCCCCAATAAGAAAAAACAGGGCTCCGTGGAGAATGGCTGATTCTAGGACTGGGGCAGGAAATATTCAAGATGAGTCTGGCACATCTGGTAATGCCAAAAAGTAAGGAAGTACTCAAAAAGTAGAAAAAGAAAAGAAAATCCCACAATGATGGAGGTATATGTTCAAGGGTCACAGGAACCAACGGAAAGAGCTCCAAATGGCCAAATCTAGAACAATTTGAGCAACAAAATAAATATATTATATTGGATTACAACCTAAAGTATAAAATAAATATCTGTAAGTCCATATAAGTAAATGATTGCATAAATAATAACTGAGGGACAAGAGACACATTTTCCATGGAGAATTCCAAGGAATTTACATAGATACTCTGCACTCTTAGGAAGCGAAACACAACTCCCCATTCCTTAAGTGGGAGCACAGTGATTTCCTTTCAAAGAATACAATATGGAAAGGGGGGGAAAAAGAGTGTGAGAAATCTGACAAGTGAGGATTCAAACAGGCAACCAAGGTCAACTTCAACAGCCATAAATCATGTTGATAAGTTGTGATAAGAAAGGCACTTCACCTCTGTGATCTTCACCCCCAAATTCATAACCCTAGGTTAAGCATGAGAAAAACATAAGACACACCACAGTGCAGGAATAGTCCACAAAATACCTGACCAGTGCTTCTCAAAACTGTCAAGGTCATCAAAAACGAGGGATGTCATAGCCAAGAGGAGCCTAAGTCGACAGGAGGACTACATATAATGTGGGATGCTGGATGGCATTCTGACACAGAAAAAGGACATTAAGCAAAAATTATGGAAATCTGAATAAAGTATGGACTTCAGTTAATGATAATGTATTAATATTGGTTCCCTAATTTGACAAATGTTTCAGATATTAATAATTGGGGAAAACGGATGTGGGGTATATGGGAACTCTCTGTATTATCTGCTCAATTTCTCTGTAAATCTAAACCTGTTCTAAAAGAGTATGAGAGAGAGAGAGAAAGAGAATATATGAGTCCTTCCCCTTCCCTGTGTAGGAGTCCAAGGTATCTGGAGCTAAGGGAGTCATCTTCTGACTGTGGAGATGAAAATTCATGGCCCAAACCAACTTTGGACCCCTCTATTGGGTTTTTATTATATAAGAAAATAAACTTCACAAACAGAGCTTCACAAAACAAAGCTGTTTTGGGCCAGATGTCTTGTTCCTTGCAGCTGAATGCTTCCCAACTGACAGTCCTCATATCACTTTCACAGCTACTGCTGTGGTTTAGACCTTTATCTTCTTACTCCCTACTTAACCACACTTCCTTCCTCATCTGGTTGCTCTCTTCTCTGGATTTACCCCCTGGCTACATTTCTCTCAACACCCCAAGGCCGGCAACTCCTGCCCTTCCCAGGACAGGGTTATTCTCTCACCCTTCCAAGCTTGTGCACACTTGAGTCCTTCTGCCTGGGATGCCCATTCTTCCATCCTTATTCCTCCCAGCAAATAACTTCCCGAATTCAAGGTTCAGCTCACCCTGTGTGATGGGCAGGATTCTCATATGTCCCTGAAGATCCCCCTGGTAAACATGGTCTGCATAACTCTTGGTACTGTGAATATAATGAGCTATACTTCTATGATTAGGTTATGTGGTATGACACAGTTCATTAAAAAAATTTTTTTTTAAGATTTTATTTATTTCTTTGACAGAGAGAGAAACAGCCAGAGAGGGAACACAAGCAGGGGGAGCAGCAGACAGAGGGAGAGAGAGAGGCAGGCTTCCCGTGGAGCAGGGAGCCCAATGTGGGGCTCGATCCCAGGACCCTGGGATCATGACCTGATCCAAAGGCAGACGTTTAACGACTGAGCCACCCAGGTGCCCCTACACAGTTCATTTTTTAAAAAAGATTTATTTATTTTAGAGGGGGCAGGGGCAGAGGGCGAGAGAGCCCCAAGCAGACTCCATGCAGAGCCTCACACAAGTTTCGATCTCATGACCGAGCTGAAACCAAGAGTCGGACTCCTAACTGACTGCACCACCCAAGCACCCGACACAACTGATTTTAAGAACAGGTTATCTGGGAGGGCCCGATTTAATCACATGAACTTTTAAAAAGCAGAGTTTTCTCTGGCTGGTAACAAAAGAGGAAGTCAGGCAGAGATTCAACATGTGAGGGGCACTTGATTTTCAAGACATTCTCCGTTGCTGGCTTTGAGCATGGAGGGGTCACATGATAAAGAATGCTGGTGGGCTCTAGAAGCTGACAGCAGGCCCTGGCTGACTGCCAACAGGGAAATGGGGACCTCAACCCTACAACCACAAGGAACTGAATTCTGCCAACAACACGAATGAGGATGGAGGCAGATCTTCTCCAGAGCCTCCAGATAAGAACAGTCCAGCTGACATCCTGATTTCAGCCTTGTGATACTGAACAGAGAACTCAGCCATGATGCCATGCAAACTCTGACCTAGGGAGCTATGAACTAATAAATAGGTGCTGTTTTTAGCCACTGAGTCTGTGGCAGTCGGTTATGTAGCAATAGAAAACTCACCATGCTTCCTCTCTGAAGTCTTCCCTCATTCCTCAGGCACACCAGTGACTTCTCTCTGCTGCCGAGGCACCTCATACACAGCCATGCTACAGGGCAAGTCACTAAGTATTATAATGATCCACTTAGCAGTCTACCCTCCTCACAAGATTCCAGAGTTCCTGAGAAATGTTGGCACCTATCACTTCATCATTGCAAGCTCAGGCACAGAGCAGGAAAGCAAAAAATACTGGTTAAATGAATGTTTCATCAAGAAAAAAAAAAAAAATCCCAAGATTACTAATTTGTAATCTTATACACCAAAATTGCCAAAGATGCAGGAGATTTAATGTGTAAGCAAGAGAAAAAGTCACCAATGTAAAAAGAGAATGGAGAAAAAAAATATTAATACACATGTAGGATGTTTCTAGGAACCAGATGTGAATGAAGTCCCCAGGTAAGGTTGGTGAGGGAAGAAGTAAGCAGAAATATGAGGAAAAATCCATCTCTACATTACTTAGTAAATAGTATTTATTGCATGTCTGCTATGCAGTCAGGCCAGGAACTGTGGAAAGCAATACAGGATTTAAAGCTTGCCCTCAAAAATACTGAGAGCCTCCTTTCTGTGGCATACCAGGCTTAGAATGTTAGAGTCAAAACAGTTAAAGACCTTGATTTTGTATGTACTTAAGCTTCAAAATCCTCTACTTCCTAAACAAGTGGGGAGCAAATTGATTTTCTATTGAGCTCTGTATTTTTGAGATTCTTTGGTATTGGCCCTTCTTTGTGTTGGCTGCCTAATTCTCTGCAGAGCAGATGAACCACTATCAGCTCAATCTGATAGTCATTTGGGTTGTTTTGAGGCTTTCACTATTACAGACACCTGTCAAATGGCAACTTCGCTCCGCGCCTTTTACATCTCTGTGAAAGCGTCTGTGATGAGAATTCCTGGAAGCGGACCCAGATACTTTGTTGTTACGCAATACTCTCTCCCTCAGTCCCTGCCCTACGGATGCCAGCTCCCTTGAGCAGCTAGGGCTCCCTGAGTTGGAGCAGTCGCTTACCTCCAGGCCTGGCGGGTGCGGCTCCCATCTCTCTCAATTCAACTGCTGGAGTGGAAATGTGGTCTGGAAAAGGCAGGAAGGGGGTGGGATCCATAATGTACCGAGAAACCAAGTAGACGCTGAGTGAGGGAAAAAATAGTACAGGAAATTGTAAGGGGGTACTTGAGGAAAGAAGAGATGGGACGGAAAAGATGCTGTCTGGGTCAGAGTAGCGTGGGCTAAAAACAGTCGGAATACAGGTTAGTCACTTCGAGGGCCTCCAACGCCAACGCGATTAGTTTGTGTTTCATCCTGTGGGCGATGGGAGCGCAGAAGGGATTCAGTGAAAGATTCAGGTTTCTGATTCTGCCACTAGCTCTAGGGGTGAGGTGTCAACTCATCTCTCTGAGCTGTTTCCGCATCTGTTAACCTGGGAAAGTAGTACTTGCTGGGCCGACCTAGAATGGTGATAGGAACTAAACAGAGAAGAGCTGTAAACCTTGGAAGGCCGATCTCGGGTGTGCGTGGGGGGGGGGGCGTGGTGGTTTACTGTCAGTTGACAAGCCGACAATAATTTCTGAAGTCCTTGAGAAAAAAATTCTGCAATAAAGTCCGAAAATTAAGAGGCAGATGGCTTTTTGCTTGCAAACAACATGCCATGGACTCAAGAGTTGGTCCCAGCCTTTCCTTGCTCTGCTGCTCCGCGCCCGGCTCAAAGCCCACGCAGGAGACCCTCCCCTGGGTTTGCTTGGAAATCTCCGGCGCCGAGGACTCCCGCAGGAGGTGGACACAGGCGCGCGTGCGTGTGCGCGGCGCACCGGGCCTAGAGTGGCGTCCGGGAGCTCGGAGCGGGGCTGGTACCGGGGCTGACCGGGGCTGGGAATCCCCGCACTGCCGAGCGGTGGGGGCAGCAGAGCGTGCGTGGGCGCAGCCAGCCACTGCGCAGGCGCGGGCACGCTCCCCTCGGCCTCCGTGCGGCGTTGCAGGCTGGGCGCGCGCGCCCGCGGCGGGTTCCGCTCCCGGCGGGCGGAGGGCTGCGCGCGCACGGGCGAGCCAGCCGTGACGTGCGCCGCGCTACGCCGGACGTCACGGGTCCGTGTGTAGTGGCGGCCCGGCTGCCCTCAGCGGCGGCGCTTGACGAAGGTGGTGCGGCCGCTGGGTGCGGCGTTCAGGGGTCGCGCGGCGTGCGGCGGCGACGAGGACCACGACCGGCAGGCCGGGCACCTCCAGCCGCGGAGTAGCCGCTCCCGCCCCTTCTCCGGCCTCTGGCGGCGCCCTGCCCACGGCTTCCTCCTTTCCTGCTCAGCTTCGCGCGGGCCTCGGGGCCGCGGCGGCGAGAAGTACCGAGGGGCGCCGAGAGGCCCCGGCCGGCCGCGGCGGTCCACGCGCCCTCCACCCGGCGCGGGCTCCATGTGAAGGAGGGATCCGGCCCGCGCCAGACTCCTCGCGCGCCCCTCCGGCCCCCGGGGGCCCGCGGCCTCCCCCGACCGGGGGGCGCGGTGACAGGCCGCGCGGGGGCGGAGGGGCGGGCTCGGAGGCGGTGGCAGCCCCTCCTCGGGCCTGCGGCTCCCTACGTCCCCGCGGAGCGGCCGGTACGTGCCTGTGTTTGTGTGGGGCGGGGGCGCGGTGGGCCTGTGCGCAGCTCCCGAGGCTGGGATTTCGCTAGGTGCTTGTTCTGCGCCGGGTGGACAGATCTCGGGGTTCTCGCATCCTTTCCTGAACCCCAGGTCTGAGCGAAGTAGACTGCTGGGCTGTGTAGCTGTCAGACACGTACTCTGCAGGGATTTTAGAAGGAAGATTGCAGCTGGTCCCTTGGAGAAGAAATGTTATATGCAGTAAGCGAAAAAGTGCTTGTCTTTGCACTGTCACACTGTGATAATCTATTGATTGGGGGGTTGATTTTTCCGTCTAGCTTTAGCTAGCACCTACGGTGCGGCGGGCAGTTGTCTTGCATTGTCTGCCTTCATCTTCTCAGCACAATGAGGTCGGTACATGTCTCCCCATTTTACAGATGAAAAATTGAGTCTCGGAGAGATTAGGGAAATTGCCCAAGGTCATGCAGCTGGTAATCCGGGAAGCCTTGATTCTAATATGATGTCTTTTCTGTAGGACTGTATTTTTGAGTCTTGAAAAAATAAATAGGAAAATTAGAATAGTTGGAGAGTTTCTTCCTGGGAGTAAAATTCTGAACATCATTGGTAGATGTAGTTTTGTACCTAGCGTAGGCTGTTCGATGTGTTTTGCTGCAGCCTAGCCAAATCATTTTCTTGGCTTTTTTTCTTCTTTTTAAAAATTACTTTTAAAAGGTGGCGCAGGGCACCTTTACCCTTTTGCAGTAGGACAGAACAGAAAACAAATTTCACTTTTATTAAGAGAAGAAATGTAATAAAGACTAACACTATGAAAAAAGATGACACAAAAAAGAAGAAATATAATTGGTAAAATGCATATTTCCTGAAAAGTTACAATTTTACTTGTGCAGTTTATTCTTGACACATACGGGGAACTCGCAGTTGGATTATTAGCTTGAGATTTCCTTATTGCAAAACTTGTTGCTGAATTATGTGGCAATGGCTGAACATACTTAGTAATTGGTGCAATCTTATGCAATATTTCTGAATTGTTAAAATTAGTGTGTAGAATATCGTAGAAAGTTACCTTTTAATGGTGTGATTTTTTTCCCTTTCATTTGTGTGTGGTGACTGGTAAGTGTTTATAAACTAAAATTTGTCATTTTAGCATTGGCCTGTATTATTTCTTTGATTATGGTTAGTGAAAAAGAAAATATTTCTCTTTACAGAAGAAAATATTGATAGATTCCTTTGAGTAGTCGAGGCTTCACGTATAGTTGCAAATGTTTAAGAAATGTATTGATGCCCAATTACACTACTCTCTAATTTTCTCCAGTATATTATCAGGTTTAAGAAAATTTGTAGTTGAATGTTTTTGTATTGTCTTTAGAGAAAAGGTCAAATTATAGAGTTGACAAATGGTTGGTTCATAGATTGATTTGTTGTTTGGTTAAAATGTGAACTATGTTGATTCCTGTTGATTTATGTTGAGTGTGATCTCATAGAATGGGTATCTTGGCACGATCTCCGTGTGTCTCTTTTGAGAGAAGTAGCTGTTAAAGGCTTATTTTTAAAAATTGGATTACATTATGGACTCAAGTCTATTAATGGATCTTTCATTTTTAGTTCACCTTCCTGCTACCAAAGCGGTAAACTGTATTTAATAGATCCTGTATTAAAGTGAAGTCTTGTTAGGGTCATGACAGCTTTGGTTTTGGGTGGATTTTTTTTTTTCCCCTTGTAGAATTGGAGTTCTCTGGGCCCCTCAACACTCTCCCCCAACTTTTTTTATTATGAAACAATTTCAAGCATATAGGAAATTGCTAATAGAGTGAACATCCTTATCATGATCCTCTAGATTCGGTATTTGTTGACATCTTGTTGTATTTGCTTTATCTGTAAATATGTGTGTATTATTTTTGGCTCAGCCATTTGAGACTAAGCTGTAAACATTATGACACTTATCCTAAATATGTCAGCATACATTTCCAAAGATGGACATTTCCTAACATAGCCAAAATACCATTATTGTTAATTTTTTTAGTTCATATTTTCTAATCAGTAATTGATAGTTTCTTAATTGATAATTCCTTAATGTAATCTAACATTCATATTTAAATCTCCCTATTTATACTGTTTGGTCTTTTATGGTTTTTTTACACCCAGCCACACCAAACCAAGATACAGGGTTTATTCACTGCGTTTGGTTAAGTCTCTTTGATCTCTTTGAATCTAGAACAGTTTTACCTCCCCCTTTTAAAATGAGGTTGCCTTTTTTTTTTTTTTTTTTTTAAAGAGATCAAGCCAGGGACGCCTGGGTGGCTCAGTCGGTTAAGCGTCTGCCTTCAGCTCAGGTCATGATCCCAGGGTCCTGGGATCGAGTCCCGCATTGGGCTCCCTGCTCCGCGGGGAGCCTACTTCTCCCTCTGCCTCTCTCTCTCTCTCTCTATCTCTCATGAATAAATAAATAAAAAATCTTTAAAAGAGATCAAGCCAGTTGTCTTATAAAATGAGTCACATTTTCTGTTTGTCTGATTCCCCCCCCCATGGTGTCATTTAGTGTGTTCCTCTATTCCCCTGTATTAACTATAAACTAGCTTTAAAGGCTTGATTAATTTCAAATTAAATATTTTGGCAAGACTAACCCTTAAGTGATACTGTGTAGTTCATATTGCTTCCCATCAGGTCATATACTGTCAAGTCCCATTATTTGTGATGCTGAGTTTGATCACTTGGTAATGGGGGTTAAGGTAAGGTATATTTTCCCCACTGCAATTAGCAATCTGGCATGATAAATTAGCACTGTAGTGCTAGCTGTTCTCCAATAATCTGTCACTGAATAGTTGTAGCATATATTGCTGACCCTTGTTAGGCTAACTTTTGATAATTTCAGTGAAAATCGCAGGAATTATAAAATATCCTATACAGCTATATTAGATTCTGATTTTGTGGGTTTTAAAATTTTGTAATTATGAATTCAAGGTATCTCCTGTTATGAATTAAAAAAAAAACAAAAAACCTGGCTTGTGAAAAATGGGAAAAACTCAATGCCTGTCTTTTCCTGGAATCTCACTGAAGGAGTGCGTTTAAGTTTTTCTTAGCCATTATTTGTTGACAGACAAATAACTAGAAATATAATAAAGGAAGAATGGATTTACTAAAAAACAATTTGAGAAAACTGTCTATTTTCTGGTATAATGCAAGGAGCACTGGATTGAGGGTCAGAAGATCTAAATTCTTTTTTTTTTTTTTTAAAGATTTATTTATTTATTTGACAGAGAGAGACACAGCGAGAGAGGGAACACAAGTGGGGGAGTGGGAGAGGGAGAAGCAGGCTGCCCGTGGAGCAGGGAGCCCGATGCGGGGCTCAATCCCAGGACCCTGGGATCATGACCAGAGCCGAAGGCAGATGCTTAACGACTGAGCCACCCAGGCGCCCCCAGAAGATCTAAATTCTAATTGTAATTCTACCACTATGTGAAGTTTAAGAATTAAAAATTTTAAATTAAAATTTTAACATCACTCAGTGTTCTCATTCTATAATGATCAAGTTAGTAAACATTTGTGAATTTCTTTTTATTGAAATATAATTGACACACAGTATTCTATTAGTTTTAGGTCTATATCATTGTTATTCAGTATTTTTATACATTACAGAATGATCCCCACAATTAGTCTAGATACCATTGCTCACCTTACAAATTTATTATAATATTATTGGCTATATTCTCTATGTGGTATATTAAATTCCTGTGACTTACTTATTTTATGAATACTATGATTTCTGATAATGAGGTATGTTGGCTACATTTAGAGGTGAACCTCATTTTAATTCAGGTAGAAATAAATATATGTAATATAAAATTGAATTTATTTCCCAACTAATTAACTGACATTTAATAGGTTATTGATTTTTTTAAAAATTATTTTTAGGTTACTGTTTCAAAGAAGGTTTCATAATAGGGTTTACTTAAGTAACACATTCTCTTATTAAAAAATATGATTTAGGGGTGCCTGTGTGACTCAGTTGGTTAGGCGTCCAGCTCTTGATTTCTTCTCTGGTTGTCTGCTTGGGATTCTCTCTCTCTCTCTCCCTCTTCCCCTTCCTTTCCCCTCCCCCACTGCTGGTGGGTGCTTGCAGGCATGAGTGCTCTCTCTTCTCTCTTTAAAATAAATAATCTTTTTAAAAAATAGGATTTAATTCATTAAACAGTTTACATGAAGTTTTTTCGCACATTTCTTTTGTAAGTCAGAATGAACTGTATATATTGAAATAAAGACTCTTTCCCCTTATTCTCCAGTGTTGTGTAAGGTATATAGCTCTCTGTCTGTACACAC